TGTACAGGTAGGTGGTCCTGTGTACAGGTAGGTGGCCCTGTGTACAGGTAGGTGGTCCTGTGTACAGGTAGGTGGCCCTATGTACAGGTAGGTAGCCCTGTGTACAGGTAGGTAGTTACAGGTAGGTAGTCCTATGTACAAGTAGGTGGTCCTGTCTACAGGTAGGTGGCCCTGTGTACAGGTAGGTGGCCCTGTGTACAGGTAGGTGGTCCTGTGTACAGGTAGGTGGTCCTGTGTACAGGTAGGTGGCCCTGTGTACAGGTAGGTGGCCCTGTGTACAGGTAGGTGGTCCTGTATACATTGTGGCGGCAGGGTACGCGCTCTCATACATTGTATCTTCTGCAGATCCGCCGGTAAGTTGAGGTCTCTGGTGAGCGACATTCATGGGAATCACACGGCTGAAATTACCCAGAAGTCCCCAGACAGCACCGGCAGCCAATCAGGAGCAGCCAGCGGGGTTGTGGTGAGTAAATGATTTCCCAGAATCCCCCGCAGCAGAGGGAATAATGACGGAGGAACATCTGCTTTTCCTGCGTCCTCCCCCGTCCCTGAGAGCGAGGAGGGGGGGGGCGTCCGGGGACGAAACTGAACACCTGATGCCTCCAACATTGTGAGAGCGTTGTACGGCCCGAGTGTTCTCTATACACCATTCTACCCCACTGCCCCTTTACTGTACCCCAATTACCCCTTTGCCCTTCGGTGTGTACTGAAACCCCCTTAAATATACCCCAACCCCCTCTGTGTTTGTACCCCAAGCTCCATTCTGTTATCCTCTGATCCCTCTGTATTACCCTTCAGGCCGCTTCTACCCCCCGTCCCTCTCTACTGTACCCCAATTCCCCCCTCTGCCCAACTCCACTTCACTCCCGGCCTCTCTTCTCCCCCCGTCCCTCTCTACTGTACCCCAATCCCCCCTCTGCCCCACTCCACTTCACTCCCGGCCTCTCTTCTCCCCCCGTCCCTCTCTACTGTACCCCAATCCCCCCTCTGCCCCACTCCACTTCACTCCCGGCCTCTCTTCTCCCCCCGTCCCTCTCTACTGTACCCCAATCCCCCCTCTGCCCCACTCCACTTCACTCCCGGCCTCTCTTCTCCCCCCGTCCCTCTCTACTGTACCCCAATCCCCCCTCTGCCCCACTCCACTTCACTCCCGGCCTCTCTTCTCCCCCCGTCCCTCTCTACTGTACCCCAATCCCCCCTCTGCCCCACTCCACTTCACTCCCGGCCTCTCTTCTCCCCCCGTCCCTCTCTACTGTACCCCAATCCCCCCTCTGCCCCACTCCACTTCACTCCCGGCCTCTCTTCTCCCCCCGTCCCTCTCTACTGTACCCCAATCCCCCCTCTGCCCCACTCCACTTCACTCCCGGCCTCTCTTCTCCCCCCGTCCCTCTCTACTGTACCCCAATCCCCCCTCTGCCCCACTCCACTTCACTCCCGGCCTCTCTTCTCCCCCCGTCCCTCTCTACTGTACCCCAATCCCCCCTCTGCCCCACTCCACTTCACTCCCGGCCTCTCTTCTCCCCCCGTCCCTCTCTACTGTACCCCAATCCCCCCTCTGCCCCACTCCACTTCACTCCCGGCCTCTCTTCTCCCCCCGTCCCTCTCTACTGTACCCCAATCCCCCCTCTGCCCCACTCCACTTCACTCCCGGCCTCTCTTCTCCCCCCGTCCCTCTCTACTGTACCCCAATCCCCCCTCTGCCCCACTCCACTTCACTCCCGGCCTCTCTTCTCCCCCCGTCCCTCTCTACTGTACCCCAATCCCCCCTCTGCCCCACTCCACTTCACTCCCGGCCTCTCTTCTCCCCCCGTCCCTCTCTACTGTACCCCAATCCCCCCTCTGCCCCACTCCACTTCACTCCCGGCCTCTCTTCTCCCCCCGTCCCTCTCTACTGTACCCCAATCCCCCCTCTGCCCCACTCCACTTCACTCCCGGCCTCTCTTCTCCCCCCGTCCCTCTCTACTGTACCCCAATCCCCCCTCTGCCCCACTCCACTTCACTCCCGGCCTCTCTTCTCCCCCCGTCCCTCTCTACTGTACCCCAATCCCCCCTCTGCCCCACTCCACTTCACTCCCGGCCTCTCTTCTCCCCCCGTCCCTCTCTACTGTACCCCAATCCCCCCTCTGCCCCACTCCACTTCACTCCCGGCCTCTCTTCTCCCCCCGTCCCTCTCTACTGTACCCCAATCCCCCCTCTGCCCCACTCCACTTCACTCCCGGCCTCTCTTCTCCCCCCGTCCCTCTCTACTGTACCCCAATCCCCCCTCTGCCCCACTCCACTTCACTCCCGGCCTCTCTTCTCCCCCCGTCCCTCTCTACTGTACCCCAATCCCCCCTCTGCCCCACTCCACTTCACTCCCGGCCTCTCTTCTCCCCCCGTCCCTCTCTACTGTACCCCAATCCCCCCTCTGCCCCACTCCACTTCACTCCCGGCCTCTCTTCTCCCCCCGTCCCTCTCTACTGTACCCCAATCCCCCCTCTGCCCCACTCCACTTCACTCCCGGCCTCTCTTCTCCCCCCGTCCCTCTCTACTGTACCCCAATCCCCCCTCTGCCCCACTCCACTTCACTCCCGGCCTCTCTTCTCCCCCCGTCCCTCTCTACTGTACCCCAATCCCCCCTCTGCCCCACTCCACTTCACTCCCGGCCTCTCTTCTCCCCCCGTCCCTCTCTACTGTACCCCAATCCCCCCTCTGCCCCACTCCACTTCACTCCCGGCCTCTCTTCTCCCCCCGTCCCTCTCTACTGTACCCCAATCCCCCCTCTGCCCCACTCCACTTCACTCCCGGCCTCTCTTCTCCCCCCGTCCCTCTCTACTGTACCCCAATCCCCCCTCTGCCCCACTCCACTTCACTCCCGGCCTCTCTTCTCCCCCCGTCCCTCTCTACTGTACCCCAATCCCCCCTCTGCCCCACTCCACTTCACTCCCGGCCTCTCTTCTCCCCCCGTCCCTCTCTACTGTACCCCAATCCCCCCTCTGCCCCACTCCACTTCACTCCCGGCCTCTCTTCTCCCCCCGTCCCTCTCTACTGTACCCCAATCCCCCCTCTGCCCCACTCCACTTCACTCCCGGCCTCTCTTCTCCCCCCGTCCCTCTCTACTGTACCCCAATCCCCCCTCTGCCCCACTCCACTTCACTCCCGGCCTCTCTTCTCCCCCCGTCCCTCTCTACTGTACCCCAATCCCCCCTCTGCCCCACTCCACTTCACTCCCGGCCTCTCTTCTCCCCCCGTCCCTCTCTACTGTACCCCAATCCCCCCTCTGCCCAACTCCACTTCACTCCCCACCTCTCTTCTACCCCAGTCGCCCCCTGTAATCATCATTATATGAGGCCCAGACTGGGGTTCTCCACCACTTCCATGTGTCCGGTGCCTCGGCCATGTTTGTTGTCGTGTCCCACAGACGGTCCGTCCTCCTCATCTTTGTACATTATTGTTGTTCCTCAGACCGCGGGGGAGGGGTGGGGTGGGGGTATCATTTATAGGGGGGTGCGTGTCTCACATTG